TCCAAATGCGTTTTTGCATGTGCATTTTTCATGCGTTCCCATGCGTTTTTTTCCACTCTTTTTTCTTCATCTCAGTTGAGGACATGTGTGTTCCAGTGTGTTTTTTATGCATTTTGCCGCATTCCAGATGCATTCCACGCAGAAAAAATGCAACATTTTGTCAACTTTTGTTGACTGCACTGGAACGCACTGCACTGAGTTACAGCCATTAGAATCCATGGAAAAGAAGAACGCAAGGTTGAACTTTTTTTCATTTTGGATAGAATAAAGGAGGGTTATAACCCCTGTCTGAATTTTTTCTTTGCCTGGAGAGATTTAATATCACTTCCTGTCCCATAGCCAAAACAGGAAGTGAGATGAAATCCCTGTAAATTAGGGGATCCCTTGGGGCCCCCACAGGTCACCTGAACTAGTGCCCTGAGGAAAAGGGAATCACACCTAAAAATGCGTCAGCCAATTGAGGGTCTTCTGACCTTTGGGAGCTGACCTAGTGATTTGGTCACTTTGTACATTATATGCTTCTGATACTACATTTGTTTGTGAGTATATATCAACTTCAGATTTAATAAAAGTTACTTCTCAGGTAATGCACTAGGCTGGTACACCCTCTCTTCACTTGGTTTTACAGTCACCAGAACTAGTTTTTCTTTCTCTCTGAAAGGACAGAGAGAGATACAATGTATCTCTCTCCTCCATTCAAAGAGAGAAAACAAGGGGGTGACTGATCACTGTGATAGCCAATCAGAGGCTACCACAGCGTTTAGGTGACCCAGAATCGGGAGTTCTGGGTCCCAATCGTAAGAACTGGACCCAGGGCTCTCAGTGACACCCCGGTCTTTGTGCCGTGCGGCATGCTCCCAGCAGAAAGACAGGTACGCAAATCAGCAGCCCCACGGAAAAAAGCCCAGTTCTGTGAGGCCACTAATTTGCGTGCGGTTGGCATCAAGGGGTTAAACAGGATAAACAGGGTGAATCTCCCTAAAGGTGGCATGGGGAGCAGTAAAACCCTAATGGGGTGTTCTGATCCTTCTCCACTCTAGCCAAAACTAAAAAAAGTTTTGCCTTTAGATATATTTTAAAATGATTCTAAAGGTTAATTATTTTTTTGTAAAACAACAAACATGTCTATACTTACCTGCTGTGTGCAGTGGTTTTGCACAGAGCAGCCTGCATCCTCCTGCCAGTGTTCCTGGCTCCTCCTTTCTGTTGGGTGCCCCCACAGCAAGCAGCTTGCTATGGGGGCACCCGCTGCTCCGTGTGTCTATTCACACACGGAGCTGCGGCTTGGCCCCGCCCCTCTCTCGCCTCATTGGCTGACTGGCTGTGATTGACAGCAAGGGAAGCCAATGACTCCCACTTGCTTTCTCAGCCAATGAGGAGGCAGAGACACGGGACAGCCAAAGGCTGTCATTCACATCGCTGGATCGCAGGTTAGTATGGAGGAGGCTGGGGGCACTGCTGCACACAAAAGATTTTTTACCTTCATGCATAGAATGCATGAAGGTAAAAAACCTTCAGCCTTTACCAGTTTAAACACTGTGCATGCGTTTTGGATGCAGAACAAAAACACACTGGTCTGCATCTGGTGTGAACTAGTCCTAAGAAATGTCTTAAACTGATCGCAAAAAGAAATACATGAGAACAAGCAGAATCTTCTCATTGAAGCGGAGTTCCAGCTGCAAAATAATAGCCAACAGCTACAAAAACTGTACCTTCTGACTTATAAAATACAGACACTTACCTGTCTCTCAGTCCAGTCATGACCTCGCCACAGCTGGTTTCACACCGGCCGTCTTCTCTCCCTGGCACCGGCATCTTCAGAGTGGGCACATCTTGCTGCTTCACAGCCGGGTGCCCGCTGCGCATGCACGAAAAGCGCTGCGTCTTGAGAATGGCCCTGTGGTCTTCGTGTCCCAGAAGACTGCAGGGAGAGAGGGGGGGAGATAACTTCTGCTTCCGATCGCCTAGGCCAGGGGTAGGCAACCTGCGGCTCTCCAGCTGTTGTAGGACTACAAGTTCCATCATGCCTCTGTGCAAGTCATTGCTGTAACTGCCAGTTTTGTAATGTTGCAATGCCTCATGGGAAATGTAGCTCCACAACAGCTAGAGAGCCGCAGGTTGCCTGGCCTAGGCGATCACAGCAGAAGTGGGAGCGGGAATCTGTCAAATTCGGATAACTGCTTCTGCCCCTCCCGCTCCCCAAAGGTGCCAATCCTTAACGGGGAGCTGGGGGCAAAGCCTCAAAGTGGAACTTCCCCTTTTGGGTGGAGCTCCACTTTAAAGTGTATCTATGGTCAGAATGTCAAATCATGTCTTCATTTCCACATTGTATTTCAGTGATTTCTAGCCTACCCGTTATTCTGCATGATCTTGTAGTTTGTAAACTACTTATTTAGTTCCCTGAATTCTGTGATATATTCACTATGTTCTGTGAGTGTCACACATTTCATAGAGCCTGCCTTCTGGACTACAAAGGAGCTGAGAGTAGGAGACTCAGGAGGCGGAATTAGTTTAGGACTCACAGCTTGCGGGCAGTAAGGTACCATGGGATATGTAGTTCTAAGAATGGAAAGCAAACAGCAGAGGAGAAGCTGCAAAGCATGCTGAGAATCCAGGAAAATTTGGAAAGAGATGGCCAGCAGACACATTTTTCAAGTAAGGTTATATGACTCGTTTGTTGTTATTCTTCCCACTGACACCAATGATGGGGCACTATTCCTCCCACTGACACCACCAATTCGACACCAAAGATAGGGCGTAATTCCTTCTACTGACACCAAAGATAGGGCATATTCCTCCCACTGAGACCAACAATGAGGCACTATTCCTCCCACACCAAAGATAGACACCAACGAGGCACTATTCCTCCCACTGACACCAACGATGGAGCACTATTCCTCCCACTGATACCAATGATGGGAAACTATACCTTCCACTGACACCAACGATGGAGCACTATTCCTCCCACTGATACCAGCAATGGGACACTATTCCTGCCACTGACACCAACGATAGGGCGTAAATCCTTCCACTGACACCAAAGATAGGGTATATTCCTCCCACTGAGACCAACAATGAGGCACTATTCCTCCCACTGACACCAATGCTGGGGCACTATTCCTCCCACTGATACCAATGATGGGAAACTATACCTCCCACTGACACCAACGATTGAGCACTATTCCTCCCACTGATACCAGCAATGGGACACTATTCCTGCCACTGACACCAATGATGGGACACTATTCCTCCCACTGACACCAATGATGAGACACTATTCTTCCCACTGTCACCAATGATGGGGCACTATTCCTCCCACTGACACCAACGATATTGCACTATTCCTCCCACTGACACCAACGATGGGGCACTATTCCTCCCACTGATACCAATGATGAGGAACTATATACCTCCCACTGACATGAACAATGGAGCACTATTCCTCCCACTGACATCAATGATGGGACACTGTTCCTCCCACTGATACCAATGATAATACACTATTCATCCCACTGATACCATTGATGGGATGCTATTTCTCCCACTGACACCAATGATGGGGCACTATCCCTCCGACTGACACAAACGATGGGGCACTTTTCCACCCACAGACAACAATGATGCGGCACTATTCCTCCCACTGACACCAACAGTGGGGCACTATTCCTCCCACTGACACCAACGACAAGGCACTATTCCTCTCACTGACACAAGTGATTCCTCTCAGTGACATCAATGATAAGGCGTGATTCCTTCCACTGACACCAATGATGGGGCACTATTCCTCGCACTGATACCAATGATGGGGCAATATTCCTCCCACTGATACCAACGATGGGGCACTATTCCTCCCAATGACACCAACGATGTGGCACTATTCCTCCTACTGACACCAATGATGGGGCACTATTTCTCACACTTATACAAATGATGGGGCACTATTCCTCCCACTGATACCAATGATGGGGCACTATTCCTCCCACTGATACCAATGATGGGGCACTATTCCTTGCACGGACACCAATGATGGGGCACTATTCCTCCCACTGACATCAATGATGGGGCACTATTCCTCCCACTGACACCAGTGATTTATCTCAGTGACACCAACGATGGGAACTATTCCTCCCACTAACACCAATGATGGGACACTGTTCCTTCCACTGATACCAATGATAGGAATCTATTCCTCCCACAGACACCAACAATTGGGCACTATTCTTCCCACTAAAACCGATGATAGGGCACTATTCCTCCCACTGACACCAAAGAGATGGGGCACTATTCCTCCCAGTCACACCAATAATGGGACACTATTCTTTCCACTAGAACCAATGATGGGGCATTTTTTCTCCCACTGACACCAACAAGATTTGGCACAATCTGTTCCATTGACACCAATGATAGGGTCTATTCCTCCAACTGACACCAATGATGGGGAATTATTCCTCCCACTGACAGCAATGATGGGGAATGATATTCCTATTCTCCCACTGACATCAATGATGGGGAATTATTCCTCCCACTGACACCAATGATGGGGAATTATTCCTCCCACTGACACCAATTAGTGGACATCCTTCCTCCTTCTATTGACCACAGCCGCTGTCATTTTTTGACTCCCACTGACCACCAAGCCTGAGACAATGTCTACTCCCACTGGCCACCGCCTACGAATTTTACGACTACGATGAAAAAAATATCAGCACATGACTTCCTGTTCCTTTTGGTGACTAAGAACACTTTTTAGCGCTCTCAGAGATTCTATTTTTGGAACGTCTCCATGACGCGCATGCGCTCTACATAGAAGGCGGTACAGCTTTTTCCGGGGCTACGCCGCTCTTCATGTACTGCGTCTGCGTAGTAGGAAGTTACCTGTCTGAATGGGAGTTACACGCACGCGCTGTTGTAGGGGCGAGCGGCACTGTGTAATACGCATGTGCGAACCGTCCACGTTGTGACTCATCCAGTGAGCTGCAAAGAGCGGAAAGTGTGCAAGAATGGTGGAGCAGCGCCTTGTGCGGGGTGCCTTCCTATGGGGGATGAGCGGGATCTACCTGTGTGCATTCCTGTCTCTGTATACCCAGATCCCAGGTATGTGTGTCTGCAGATGGGATAGAACGCCCTGTTCTCCCCATACAGGCGCTCATTGATACTTTGTAGCAGACAAGGCGGGTTCAGTGCTTGGCTCAGTCATTGCAGCATGTACAGGTGGCTCCTTGGCCCCATTGTTTGGTGCAAGGTCACGATTGTACATCATTTGTGCACCAGGCTGGTTCTGGTTCGCTCTGTATATTCACATTGTATCATTGATTTCTATGGCAGTCCTTAAAGCGGCAGTACACTCGGAGTTTCAGCTTGTTCCTACAAGAAAGCTGATAATCCTTCTAGGTACCATGCATGTCTTTTAAACTTGCTCCATTTCGCACTTGCAAAAAAACAAAAATTGTACGATTTAGTAGATGATCACACTAGCCACAAGGGCGTTGAACTGGTGGCCTTCCAGCTGTTGTGAAACTACAAGTCCCATGATGCCTCTGCATTTGAGAGTCATTCTTGTAACTGTCAATCTTGCAATGCCTCATGGGACTTGTAGTTTGGCAACAGCTGGAGGGGGCAAACCTGGATGAAGATGGCAGTGCCCAGAGCGGAGACCTATCTGCACTGGAGAGCTCAAGGCAAAAGGTACTAGCACATTATGACACAAACCTGCAGGGGGGGCCATTAGATATGACTTTGCTCCACTTAATGGAGAAGTACAACCAATGCTCTTTTGGCTGTACTTCTCCTGTGGATCACAGTAGTGCAGTTCGTTCTGCACTACTATGACCTGTTTTCAGCTGACAGCAGGCTGACATCACTCAGCCAGTCCAGGCTGGGGAAGGATCCTGACTTTAAAGTCGGGATCCACCTCAGAATCTGGAGCAGCACCTGGCTCAGACTCTCAGCGATCCTTTGAGAGACTGGGCCAGCTGCTCCCCTCAAAGCCCAGTGCTCCAGTGAGCATGGGGGTTGAGGGGGGGGGGGGGGAGAGAGCAGGAATACCCCATTGTTGGCGGTCGGTGGGGGCGGAATAGCGCCCCCATTGTTGGCGGTCGGTGGGCGGAATAGCGCCCCGTCGCTGGGGGGGTGTATCCGTGGGCGGAATAGCGCCCCGGTCGGCGGGGGGTCCGTGGGGGGTCGGAATAATAGCGCCCCGTCGCTGGGGGTCGGAATAGCGCCCCGTCGGTGGGGGTCGGTGGGCGGAATAGCGCCCCGTCGGTGGGAGGGTGGGCGGAATAGCGCCCCCTCGTTGGGGGTCGGTGGGAGGAATAGCGCCCCCTCGTTGGGAGGAATAGCACCCCATCATTGTTGTCTTCCCTGAATGGCTGTGGGAACTCAGTGGGCGTGATAGTTGAGTTCTCACACTTAGACCTGCCAGGGACAGGTGCAGTATCAGACGGGAGTGATCGGGCAGACGTAGCCCTGTACGGCCGCAGTGCATAGGGGCTGCTGTGCCAGTAACATGTTACACCCTGAGTACAGGTGTAACATAATATAAAAGGTGAACTTATCCTTTAACAGGGGATTAGAAACACACAAAAAAGGGGGGGGGGGGTGAAAGTCCCTTATTGTCTGTGTTTTTTTCTGTTTTTATTCTTACTTGGTTATCCTGCCAGCAAATTTTTAAAAATAAAAACACATTTTCTATCGGAATGAATGAGATTCACAACCTATGTCAACAGAACAGGTGCTCCAAATCCAATTGGGGGGGGGGGGGCATACACAGTCCTAAACATGAAGTGCAAGTTCACCCTAGAGCAGACCTGGGAAAACTGCACCCCCAGGGCCACATCCAGCCCTTTGGCTGTCCCCATCCTGTCCTCAGTGCTTCTACTGTCGCCTCCCTCACTGTGGAGAGCTGCAAGAACTGGAAGGAGAGAGCCGGAGGAGCCTCCACACCAATCCCAGTTTCTCATGTGGCTCTTGGGAAAATGACTTGCCCACCCTGCCCTAGAAGTACTGAACACTAAACGGTCACATACCAGATGTACTTTGATAAATGCATGGCATCATGTTTGACATCTGTCTGCACTCCAGATATCCAGCAATCAGTCTTTGATAGTATTACCAGCAACACCATGCAACTCATTGTGTCACTCAGCCCCACACCCCAGTTAGAGGGGGACTGAGGACTCTGATGTGAAAGGGAGGAAGACTGAGGACTCTGGCGTGAAGGGAAAGTGGCATACTGATGATCCTGATGTGAAGGGGGCAGGAGACTGGCGGCTCTGATGTGAAGGGGGTTGGGAAACCGATGACTCTGATGTGAATGGGGGAGTGCTACTTGGGACTCTGATGTGAAGGGGGGGGGGGCTACTTGGGACTCTGATGTGAAGGGGGGGGGCTACTTGGGACTCTGATGTGAAATGGGGGGGGGCGCTACTTGGGACTCTGATGTGAAAGGAGGGGGCTACTTGGGACTCTGATGTGGAAGGAGGGGTGGGGCTACTTGGGACTCTGATGTGAATAGGAGGGGAGGGCACTACTTGGGACTCTGATGTGAAGGGGGGGGCACTACTTGGGACTCTGATGTGAAAGGGGGGGGGGGGGCTTACTTGGGACTCTGATGTGAATGGAGGGGTTACTTGGGACTCTGATGTGAAAGGAGGGGTTACTTGGGAAAGGAGGGGTTACTTGGGACTCTGATGTGAAGGGGGGGGGGGCTACTTGGGACTCTGATGTGAAAGGGGGGGCTACTTGGGACTCTGATGTGAAATGGGGGGGGCGCTACTTGGGACTCTGATGTGAAAGGAGGGGGGGCTACTTGGGACTCTGATGTGGAAGGAGGGGTGGGGCTACTTGGGACTCTGATGTGAAAGGAGGGGTTACTTGGGACTCTGATGTGAAGGGGGGGGGCACTACTTGGGACTCTGATGTGAAAGGAGGGGTTACTTGGGACTCTGATGTGAAAGGAGGGGTTACTTGGGACTCTGATGTGAAAGGAGGGGTTACTTGGGAAAGGAGGGGTACTTGGGACTCTGATGTGAAGGGGGGGGGGGGGGGTCTACTTGGGACTCTGATGTGAAGGAGGGGGGGCTACTTGGGACTCTGATGTGAAATGGGGGGGGCGCTACTTGGGACTCTGATGTGAAAGGAGGGGGCTACTTGGGACTCTGATGTGGAAGGAGGGGGGGGCTACTTGGGACTCTGATGTGAAAGGGAGGGGAGGGCACTACTTGGGACTCTGATGTGAAGGGGGGGGGGGCACTACTTGGGACTCTGATGTGAAAGGAGGGGTTACTTGGGACTCTGATGTGAATGGAGGGGTTACTTGGGACTCTGATGTGAAAGGAGGGGTTACTTGGGAAAGGGGGGTTACTTGGGACTCTGATGTGAAAGGAGGGGTTACTTGGGACTCTGATGTGAAAGGAGGGGGGGGCTACTTGGGACTCTGATGTGAAAGGAGGGGGGGGGGCTACTTGGGACTCTGATGTGAAAGGAGGGGGGGGGGCTACTTGGGACTCTGATGTGAAAGGAGGGGGGGGGGGGCTACTTGGGACTCTGATGTGAAAGGAGGGGGGGGGGCTACTTGGGACTCTGATGTGAAAGGAGGGGGGGGGGGGGGGCTACTTGGGACTCTGATGTGAAAGGAGGAGGGGGGGGCTACTTGGGACTCTGATGTGAAAGGAGGGGGGGGGGGCCTCTTGGGACTCTGATGTGAAAGGAGGGGGGGGGGGCCTACTTGGGACTCTGATGTGAAAGGGGGGGGGCTACTTGGGACTCTGATGTGAAAGGAGGAGGGGGGGGGGCTACTTGGGACTCTGATGTGAAAGGAGGAGGGGGGGGGCTACTTGGGACTCTGATGTGAAAGGAGGAGGAGGGGGGGGCTACTTGGGACTCTGATGTGGAAGGGGCTACTTAAGACTCAGAAGGGGGGAGGCTGAGGACTCTAATATGAAGGGTGGGGGACTCTGAGGGGTGGGGGGTGGAATGGGACTGCTAACTCTGATGTAAAAGATTGGGAAAATAAAGACTTTGATGTCAAAGGGGAAGAGAGGGTGTGTCTGAGAAACGTTTGATGTTATGGGGGGGCTCCATTTTAGACTGGGGTGCCTTGAGATTTTGCACATTTTCAAAGGTTGTCGTGAATGAAGAAAGGTTGACAAACCTTGATCTAGATTTCTAATTGGGCTCTTTTATCATTTCAGGTTTGTATGGCCGTGAAGGAGTCCTGCCTGCTTGGAGGATGCTGCGCTTCACTGGTAAAGGATTTTGGGAACAACTGAAGGACTCCCCTACTCTGCTCTGGCTAGGCCCCAGGGTAGGACTGGATACAGAGCAAGGCATGGAACTCATCTGCTTACTAGGAGTTCTCCTTTCTGTGGGTGCATTGCTTTTCAGTGTCCTCCGTGACAGCCTGGTGTTCCTCCTGCTGTGGATCCTCTACTTATCTGTGTATCAGGTGTGTTTGTCCTTGTGTATCCATAGCTTGTACCGCTTTCTAACTGTAAAGGCTGGAACTGCTGACACTCGCTGCCAGCTTTATGTTTATGGAAGATTAGGAGGTATGAAGAGTTAAAGTCGTACTTTTTTTTTCTTGCTCATCAAAATTGCTGCCGCTGAGCAAGTTGCTTAGGCGCAGGGATCTTACCACCTTATCTCCCGAGATTATTCAAAGTGCTGGTACTCACATTATGCCACAATTTCAGATCTTGTGGAATACATTCCAGTGATTTTTCTTAGTGTTTAGCAGTGCTATATTAAAATGGTGAGAACACACGGTTTATGTAACCTTTCATGGCTGGCATTTATCCAGATGGTCACACATGCATGCCAAATACCTGGAAACAGGATGAACAGATCCCTTTTACAGAGTGTCTTGGTGGGTTACATTGGCATTAACCATTAGCCGCCCAGCTAATGGCCGTTTGGCGGCTTCAAAAGTGTCCCTGCATTCCGGGTGCACGCCATTTGGCGTGCTCCCGCACATGCGCAGTTTGTGCTAATGCAGAGCGGCGCAGCAGTGCGATCTGTCACCGGCTGTGCACCTCGGACACAGCCGATGACAGATCCGAGTACCGGCTCCCGTTGCTGGTACCATGTGACCTGCTGTGACCAATCACAGCAGGTCACATGACAGTTGTATACAATGGATGGCTTCATTTATGATGCCATCCATTGTATACTAGTGCCTAGCTGTGAATGGTCACAGCTAATCACATGTACATGTCATGTGATTAGCTGTGACCAAATCACAGCTAAGCACAAAAAAAAAAAGCTGAATGAATCGATTTCATCCAGGTAAATGCTTGCTTATAGCAAAGTAATTCTTTGCTATAAGCAAATTGTGTATAAAAAAAAAAAAAAAAAAAAAATACTGATCACTTCCCCAAAGTAGTACAATGTTGCTATGGTAACATTGTACTACTTTGGTCATAGTAAAATATGAAAAAAAAATCTTAAAAAAAATGTAATAAAAAAATTAAATCTAATAAAAAAATAAATTTTTTTTAAAAAAAATATATATTTTTTTTTCATACTGTCACCAGTCAGTGTCCCTGTTCACCGCCATGCCAGTTATATGATGGCACTGTACTGCACTGGTGACAGTATGTAAAAAACAAAATAGTGAAAATAATTTTTTAAATTTTTTCATTTTCCGAAAAATTATGACAAAAAAATACAACTTCAAAAAACTCGCCATGCCTCTTATGAAGTACGTCGGACTGTCTACTCTGCAAAAAGGGGTCATTTGGGGATATCTGTACTATCCTGACATTCTTGGACCTCAAGAAATTAGATTGGCTGTCAGTACTTCAGGATTGATCAATATTCAGATCTATACCATAGTTTGTGAACTCTATAACTTTCCTACAAACTAAAAAATACATCTTAATTTGGTTTATTTTCACCAAAGACATGTAGCAGAATACATCTCAGCCTAAATTTATGAAGAACAATTATTTATTTGTAAACTTTTATAACAGAAACAAAGAAAAATGTGTTTTTTTTTCAAAATTTTTGGTTCTTTTTTTGTTAATTTAGCAAAAAATAAAAACCTCAGCGGTGATTAAATACCACCAAAAGAAAGCTCTAGTTGTGTGAAGAAAATGATAAAATTTTTTTAATTTGGGTACAGTGTTGTATGACCGCGCAATTGTCATTCAAAGTGTGAGAGCGCTGAAACCTGAAAAATGGCCTGGGCAGGAAGGTGTAAAATTGCCCGGTATTGAAACGGTTAAATCTAGTTATCACTCATTTTACAAACGTTTTCCAGGTATAGTAATTTGCTATTTTACTGTGTAAGAGAACAAAAAAGCATATAATAGGCTAGCTTAAATAAGCAGCTCATTTCTAGAGACCCCATCCACATTATGGTGCCACCCAAGGTAGAGTGTTACCAGTGGCAGCCTTTGTGTTGTGTTCATGTCCCGATTCACTTAAAGGCTGTTTACTGTACAAAAAAATTAAATAACTGCACATGTTTTTGCAGGAAAAAAAATGTTTCTGCAGAGCATTGCACCCGTGATCAGCAAGGTGCCATATCAGGTTCCTGCAGACAGTGCCTACAGCTTTCTCCCCCCGTACCTCTATAAAGTCTGCTCTCACAGTTCATTGAGAACTACAAGCTGTCTCCCGCAGTGGCAGATGGGACTTGTAGTTCGCTCATTCACAAATTCCTGTGAATGAATGATGCGATTTTGTGGGTGGAGCCCTGTATGGCCGCACTGTTTTTAAATTGTGACAGCTGATGAAAGGAGAGGAACACCTGCCTTCTGTCATGGAAAATGGGGGGGGAGGGGGGGGGGGAATCTGGAGGTGTGTGGACTGGTGCATAACATGTTACATACTAAATACAGGTTTAAAGGATAAGTTCACCTTTTGTAACATGTTACATGTCACACCCATATTCAGGGTGTAACATGTTACGAACGGACTGGCCCCAGCGTCCCCCGATCCTTTGTTGTGACAGCTAACGGGGGAACTTCTCCCATTATCTGTCACTGTTTAAAAAGCTCAGGCCACGTGAGCGTCTGCCCAGCCACATCACTGTTGCACAGTGTTCTGTGAATGAGAAAACTACAAAGCCCAGCAGCCTTTGCGGCTTACAGCTTGTAGTTCTTAACGAACTATCAAGGCGCTGTGACTGCTGTGGTAGTTGATTTGAGTCTTCCTGTCAAAGTATTGGCTTCCCCATACGAGGTACAAGGAAGTGGATATAGTGACAGGTCTGCAGGAGACCTGCATGGCATCACTGATTTTCTGATCACTGGTACAATGCTTTACAACCTTCCAAAACAAAAAAAATAATAAATGCACAAAAAAATGTGCATTTATCATTTTTTTGCTGAAAGGTGAACTTCTCCTTTAACATGTAATGGGTTGCTAAAGGTTTACTTGGCCTTTAATATAACTCGGGGGTTTGAAATAAACCTCAAAATGGGGAAGGGGTCATCTTGCAATTGAGAAGAAGAGGTAGCCTCTATGATTGTTTTATGATGGGTTATCTATTCTGATATTTCTATTTAAAACCATATTTCCTATTCTGTGTCTGCAGGTCGGACAAGTATTCCTGTATTTCCAATGGTAAGTGTCTGATTTGCAGCTGTTGATGTGTCTTTAACCGCTTCCCGCCCACCATATAAAGAAATGAGGGGTGGGCGATGGTTCTCTTGTTCTGGAAGGACGTCATATGACCTCCCTGGGACTCAGCGGAAAGAGCCGACGACGTCGGCTCTGTCATGTGATCAGCTGTGTCCAACCACAGCTGATCGCATGTAAATAGGAAAATGCCTGTTATTGGCATTCCTCTCCGCACGTGCTGACAGCTCATGAGGAGAGGAGAGCCGATAATCAGCTTTCCTCAGAGGGGACATCTGCACTGATCATCAGGGCACTGATGGTCAGTGCCCTGATGATCAGTGTAGCCCCATCAGTGCCACCTGCCAGTGCCTGCCAGTGCCTACCAGTGCCCATCTGAGCCACCTTTCAGTGCTGCCAATCAGTGCTGTCTGTCAGTGCCATATATGAGTGCTGCCTTTCAGTGCCCATCAGTGATGCTTGTCAGTGCCCATCACTGCAGCCTCATTAGCGCACATCAGTGAAAGAGAAAAATTACTTATTTACAAAATTTTATAACAAACTAAGAAACAAACTTTTTTTTTCAAAACTTTCAGTTGTTTTTGGTTTAACAAAAAAAAAGACCAGAGGTGATTTAAATACCACCAAAAGAAAGCTATATCTGTCTTTAAAAAAATGATAAAAATTTCATGTGAGTACAGTGTTGCATGACCGTGCAATTGTCATTCAAAGTGCGACAGTGCTGAAAATTGGCCTGGGCAGGAAGAGGGTGAAAGTGCCTGGTAGGCAAGTGGTTAAAGCCCAAGCTGAGGAAACTTGAAAATCATCAGACACAGCCCCACTGTTAGGGGTAACTGTTTCATCAAGGGGATAATAAAAGCACTTGATCCTCCACTCCCCGATGCTGAACTATTCTTGATAAAACATCCATTGCAGGGTTATGAACCCTGCAAAGGGTTTGATGATGTCAGGAGTGCAGAGGAAAAGATAAAACACTGCAGGGTTAAACCTGCATGGGTCTTGAATGTCAGGAGTGCAGAGGAAAAGACACTGCAGGAACTTCTTGCAGTGGATCAGGTAAGATCTTCTTTTCTATGTCCCCTTCATGTAAACGAGCAATTAACCCTTGCCATGTGGGCACAGCCCCACTGCAAGGGATAAGTTATACATTTCCCGGAGTTAAGCTTTAATGAAAGTAATTCATAGTAGAGCAGAATATGATTTTCTGTTTATTTTTCAGGGACAGTCTTCTGCTAGAAGCTGGATTTCTAACAATACTAGTGGCTCCACTGCGTGCTTTACGTTCGAAGACAAATACCTGGAGTTCTCATGATGGCATCACATTCTGGCTAATTCGATGGCTGCTTTTTAGACTTATGTTTGCATCTGGAGTAGTAAAACTAACTAGCCGGTGTCCCACATGGTGGGGTTTGACAGGTGAGGCCAGCTGTATTACTTTCATTTTTCTACTATTCACCTTTTGAAATTCTGTTTTGTTTTTTTTTATTGTATACAGTTCTGACACTAAAATGTTGCGCCTTTTCTATCACCACACTCCTTCCTTGGATACTGGAACTTCAGTCTTTAGTTAGTTACTTGTCAGAAAGTGATGTCGTTTTGGAGGGGGGGTGTTTGTAGTTTTTTTTTTTTTTTTTTTTTTTTTTTTTTCTTCAATTATTTTGCCCTTTTTCTGGCAGCCTTTGGGGCTATTTTCCTGGGCAGGTATAGATACCATTCCTCACTAAGCCCCAGTTTACACTTTGGAACTGCATGTGATTCACACAGGAATTGCACTACATTCATGTGCAAATCGCATGCTATCCTGTGCGGTGCTATTTGAGCCCATTCATTATGCGTGGCTCAGAACGCACTGCATCCACATGAAAAAGGTGCACACACTTTTTTTTTTTTTTCTTCCTGCACTAGAACCAGATTGCATGGGTGTTCATACCCATGCGATTCGATTCAGGCAAATGCGCTGCGTTTTTGGGTGTCATTAACTTAACAGACACCCGCAGTAGTTTGCATGAACACAGGAATTGCTGCGTTTCCCACACCACATCAGTGTGCACCCAGGCCTAATCCCTTTTTGTGAACTCAGGTCTGGAGAATTATCAGAAGGGGTGCTTCTTCTAGTATCTCCGATCTTTATCAGTTTCTCCTTCTACCCTACTGTTAACCTGTGTTCTTTCGATGGGTCCTTTCCTTTTCTTCTGGCTTCCTTCTCTGCATTTGTCCATTTTTTTTGTCCTATTACTCCCAGCCCCTCAGACACACACAAGCTTTTGTCTTGCTCATCTGTGCCTTGTCCCTATTTTTAAAATGGTTCAAGCAGCAACTGGAATCTTTTATAGGAGGCCAGCAAGGACAGTAGTGTTGGATAATGGGGAAGCGTGAGAACCTTTCTTAGGATTTTATTGCCATCAGTTTCCCTAATAAAATTCCATACTTTCTGTTTGGAGGTCAGTATTAAAAAAAAAAAAAATATAAGGAACAAAGGAACATTACTTATGCAAAGAAAAGTTCATTTTTCCACGGTGTATAAAAGGGCATTGAGATACATGTGAAAATAATAAAAGTGGACTTTTCAAGAATTGGCCTAATTATTCTTATGTATTTCTTTTTACGGCTGTTCCCTCTTTCTTAGCTCTTACCTATCACTATGAGACCCAGTGTCTCCCAACTCCAGCTGCCTGGTTTGCCCATCAGCTTCCTGTGTGGTTCCAAAAATTGTCAGTAGTTGCTACATTTGTCATAGAAATTGGGGTTCCGTGGCTTTTCTTCCTGCCTTCCCGAAGGCTTCAGCTTTTTTCATTTTATTCTCAGGTAAGTTTGTTGTTTTTTTTAATGTATTCTGATAATTTTAATGTTTCATATCTGTGTACAGAATGCAGTATTTAGGCCTTCAGATTTCACTGGTAGGCTACATTCACCCTAGCCTCCTGCATTTTTCAGGAGAAATTATCTGAAAAGTATAAACTAACCTTTTGCTTCCCAGATCAACTTTTCATACTGTAAGGGCTCGTTCACACCATATGTGCAGAAAAACTGCTGGAAACTGATTTGCAGAGACATCAGTTTTCATGCACGTTTTCTATGAGTTTGATACATGAAAGAAATCTGCACGTTACTAATATTGTGATGTAAACAGGGCACATAAAGAACAGGTGATTTTGTTGTGCCATTGCAGAACTTATGCAGAAAAGCTGACGTTCGCACCATGGTGTGAACAAGCCCTTTAAAGGTTCGTGCCCACTGGACGCTCATAACCAACTCCCTAGACGCTTTTTTCCTGGCAGCAGAACAACACTTAGCCATTACTTCGTTTCATTGGGCAGAATAGTAATTTATTCTGGCCATTGAAAGGAATGAACTCCCAAGCACTAAATGCGCCTAGTATTAACGCACATTTAAACTCGCACATGCGTTTTTGCCATGTCAAATGTTTTTCTGCCAAAACTCTTTTCTGAACGCGAATCTTCTACATTCAGGAGAGGAGCATTTTACTGCCTCTAAACACTGCTGCTCCTAAACTTTGGTAGAAGTCTATGTTTGCATGGACACACAGGATTTTGAGGTGTGTTCAGGAGCTTAGGCAAAAAAAACACCCAAAGCCCCATAAAAAAAGTGCATGTAGGAGCAGCAATGTGCATGAGCCCTAAATGTACTTGCATCTATGCATGTTTACATGTGTCTACATGCGTTTAAATGCCTTCAGGGTATAATTGACCTCTGAATGCACAGAATTCCATTCTCCTCACATGCTGCATTATCCCATTAAAAATCAATATTTATTTAAAAATATCCTAGGAGTACATATAATGACAAGTTTGTTAATGCCGATCGGAATTAGGCCTTTGTACTGATGATTTTCCTTGTTTGCTTTTATTAGGTTATCTTACAGGTCCTAATCATATTCACTGGAAATTACAATTTCTTTAACCTACTGACCCTAGTTCTTTGCATTCCTCTTCTGGATGACCAGCATTTAAAAGCGGAGCAGAAGGGCAAAAAAGCACAGCAGAAAGGTGACTACCTCATGGTCCTTATTATACGATGATAGCTATCACAAATGCCTAACTTTCATTCAAGATCTATGTGCAGTATGCTAACCAATATTCTGGTTGTTTAATTGCGGTCTGCCAAAAATACTTTTGTATTAAAAAAAAATTTTAGTCTGCATTTTTTTGGATCCTAAAAGCAGCTGAAAGGTCTTCGAATATGCAGTTTGAACAAATATGGGGTAATTGCAGGCTTCTCTTCACACTGAAATATAATATTCCATACTTTGTAAATATTAGTAGTAGCTTAAAATGTTACTAAACCCAGGACCCTGCATTCACTATATCTGGTTTCCCACAGTACGCCGAACATGGAAATGTAATTATTTTAGTAAATATAAACTGCTAAATACCTTTTCTCATCAGAAGTTAGAGCAGTCTTGTGACTTCTATCAGTGTCCAGCAGAACACTGGGTAAAGCTTGTAGGTGGAGTTTTTGTTCTCCTGTAGGAGGATGCAGGACCCCTGACCTCTGTCTGGACAGTGCTGATTGGCCCTGTGCTGATCACATGCACTCTCCCAAGGATAAAGAAAATACTTTAGCAATACCCACCAAACTGAGCATGTGCAGCTTGCCCCTGAGCCTCTGTTCTGTCAGGAGATATTTAGGAGACACTGGAAGAAGGGGAGGATCAAAGAGGACAGGATCAGACATCCTTTTTACACGATACTGAGGATTAACCCCTGAGGTTCCACAGTGAGTATAACAAGCATGCTTTACTGCATAAACAGATTGATTTTACTCTTGTTGGTTTAGTAACAATTTAATAAATCATTGTGGGAGCCCATTGAACCACAATATCATAGATCCTTCCATGATTGCCAACAGTCAGACTAGGTGTGTTCTAGGGGCCCCCTCTATAGTAATTCCCTCACTCATTGTATGTAGTGTCTCTGGTGAGTGAAATGGTGAACACTGTATAGTTTGTCACCTGTATGAAGATGGGGTACACCGGTAGTTAAAGTGACTCTAAAGGTTGTGTATTCTTTAAAAAAACAAACGTATACTTACCTGCTGTATGCAATAGTTTTGTACAGAGCAGCCCCAATCCTTTTCTTTCTGCATTCCCCGCTGGCGGTCCTGGCTCCTTCCCTATACCGAGTGCCATGAGAGCAAGCCTCTTGCTCTGGAGGTACTCACAGGCTCACTTCTGAGCTGCACTCCTGTGAATGGACATTGTCCATTCACACAGAGTGCCGCTCGCCCCCCCCCCCCCCCATTCTCTCCTCGTTGGCTCACTGGCTGTGATAGCAGAAACTGTGTGAACCAGTGAGGAGGGAGAGACACGGCAGAGCCGCTGCTCTCATGCACAACACTGGATTAAGATGTGGATCAAATAAATATCGGGGTGGTGGGGGAGGGAGCTGCACCCAGAAGGTGTTTTACCTTAAGGCACGGAATGCAGTAAACTGGTAGTAAAACTCTCCATTTCTATTTTTAACTACAAGTGAGTTTATAATAAAGCTTACCTGTAGGAAAAATGAATCTCTCCTAAATGTGCACCGTTTAGGAGATATTCTACAGAGCTGCAGCTGGTGACATCACCGGCGCATGAGCTCTGAAGGAACGGCATACCCGTGGACGAAACTAGCGAGTGATGTCATCGACAGCTCAGCCGTTCAAGCAACTGCAGCCCGAGAAGCCTTGTCAGCGGTGACAGCGCGCAGCTGGAGGGCTTCGTTTTAAGGTAAGTTTCACATAATGTGCTAGTATACAATGCATACTAGCACATTCTATTACTTTGCAGGGGGGAAACTTTTTTTTTTTTTTTTTTTCAAATACGTTTAATAAAGCTATTCATAATACTGCCCCAAACTACCTCACCGACCTGATATCCAAATACCACCCAACACGTACTCTTCGCGCCTCACAAGACCTCCTACTCTCCAGTTCCCTCCTCCCATGCCCGACTCCAGGACTTCTCCAGGTCTTCCCCCATCCTCTGGAACTCACTACCCCAATCCATCAGACTGTCATCTACCCTCCTCACATTTTAGGCGCACCCTGAAAACCCATCTCTTTAGGGAAGCCTACCCCACCCTCACCTAACAGCCGATCTCCACTCCTCCTACCACTCCATCCCCCACAGCCATTTCCTCCTGTACCACTATCCCCTCCCTCTTAGATTGTAAGCTCCAAGGAGCAGGGCTCTCGAACCCCTTGTGTATTGTTACTGTATTGTCTCATGTACTGTCCCCCACTATAATGTACAGTGTTGAGCAAACATTTTGGCGCTATATAAATACTGTATAATAATAATATTACCGCTTGTAAAGCAAACAACCTTCTGCCTTTAGAACAACTTTAATTACAAATGATGTACAGACAAGGTAACTAGATTAGGTTTGTATCTACTTGCATTAATTCTGTTCTGATTTTAGTTGTGTTTTTTTGTTTTTTTTATAGGTCGGGGGTTCTCTATAAAGACTTTAGTTGTGCTCTTGGATCTCCTTGCTTTTGGGTTACTTGCTTTTTGGACTTTAAAATATTTTGAACTTCAAATCAACTTAGAAAATTATACTGTTGAATCCAAAACAGGTAAGTGGCCCATTATTTTCGGTTTTGCCAACTAAGCTTCAGAGTTTGTGTTTGTTTTTTTTTTCTCTTTATGCATACCAATTATGTTATTTCTGTTTGGGGAAAAAAAAAAATCTGCCTTTTTACCTTTACAGCCTTTACCTATCATGACTTTCTGCAGTGGCTCAGGACACTCACCTTTCCATCTATCTGGATAGGCGCTGCTTCCCTAGGTTGGGAGATTCTCAAAGGCATGTACAGGTGAGTACAACACTAGTAAATATACAGCATGCTATTACTTTCTCATCTTGTCTTAGAATAAAGCATCTCTTAGGACTTCAGTTATAGAAGGAACATACTAAAAATTAGCTGGTTTTCAGCATACATTTTTTTTTTTTTTTTCTCTCTTCAAGCATGACCGAATTAGAAACATCAGTCATGGGAAACTTTTGCATCCATCACCTGTAGTGCCTGTTCACCTATACTGCGATGACTGGTGAAACTTACATCACACCGCTGGCTCACTGCAGTCGGAACGGAGAGCTGCCCACACACTAAACCTCTGCGGTTTAGTGTTTGGGCAGTGTGATCCAGCCTGTAGGATGTAATGGGTGATGAGATCCTGAAATCCTAACTTGCTTTTAAAATTTCATAATACATTTTAGCATTTATGAGAAGCTTGAAAAAGATCCCAAAGCATCTAAGTGGGTATATGGTTAGTTTTTCTAGCAGCATTTCCAGAAGGAAACCAAGGCAGGAAGAGCTGCAAAGAACAGAGACACAACTATGGCTTCACAAAGAAAGATGGATATATCTTCCGGTCACTTAGTACTGACATTTGATTGTGGAGTCAGTGCGGAATGTGAGTGACCTACCGGGGTGGGTGCCAGGTTGTACAAGCAGAGAAGGATGCTTTCCAGAGCAGTTGAAGCTTCAGCATTCCCATTCATAGAGCCCTTGAGTTACTGCATGTGAGCTCTACATACACTAGGACCTTTTTTTTTTTTTTTTTTTTTTGATTTTTTTTTTTTTTTTTTCCATTTACCCAAGCCGAAGCTGGATTTTTTTTTGTATTGAAATACTGCGCTGCAAGCTAAGTGCTTGGTAAGCAGTTGCAGCACTTTCCCATCAACTATAATCGGTAAGTTTCACAGGCAGTGCCACCTGTCAAACTCAAGAGTCCAAGTTACATATGCTGTGGCATGTTATCTTTTAGGTGGGCATTGGGGGGGTGGTAATACCACAGCTCTGAAATGTTTGTGTTCCAGTGGAAAATCCAGGAGGGTGAATGTTAAAAACTAATATAAGCAAAAGGTGAGACATATGCGGAAATTGGTGTTTGGTAAAAACTAAGCAGATAGTTTCTGGAAAACTTGCTCTTTGAGGGCCAGTTCACACCAGAAAAATGCACATCGGATGCATATGGATATGTTGTTGCTTACAGTTCACACCATTCTCTGTTCCGGGTCAGTTTTGTTGCAGTGTGTTATGCTTCAGTATGGTTCGCTGTAGAACAAAATGCAGCATGTTCTCTTTTTTTTTTTTTTTTTTTTTTTTTTTTTTTCACTGGAAACAGACTGGATCTGACTGCACTGGTGTGAACTAGTGCCATTGAAATACATGGAAAACACTGTGCATGCATGCAAAACGCACTGGCCTGCATCTGGTGTGAACTAGCCTTAGTGTTTCACTGAGTTGGAGGTAATAACACAGGATGAAAAATATCATGCTAAGCACAGAACCAGGCTTTGTATGTTGTCCTTTGTATATGAGCAGCTGCAGTGTGGGTGATGATTGACCCAATACAAGTGACAGCTTCCTGATTTGACTCAGACGTGGGTTTGGAAATGCATCCAAACATACCCAAGCTTAACTCTAGCTAGGTGTAACTCCATGACCTTGCACATGGAGTTTTTCCCTCTGACATACACAACTTTTTGACAGTTCTGGTGGGTTATTGTATCTGCCATAAAGAGATAATTTCTGGGTAGACTTGCCTATTGGTAAAAAGCTATTTTTGCTATACATTTTGTATATTCTCCACATAATAGACCAAATATGTATTTTTTTGAGCCTTGTTTCTGTTTTTATCAGGAGTGCGTCTGTTCGCGGCATTTTCTTGAAGTTCTGGGCAACGATACAATGGATTATTTTCTCTTTTGCAGCAGTTGGCATGTTTGCTGTCAGCTTGGTAAGATACTATACATTTACACAAATTGCCTGCAGCAATTACAATCCCACTTTCCTAACAAAAGAAAAAAGTGGGCTTCCATTTGTTACCCAGGTTCCAAAAAGTATTGTAGAAAACAGATGCTAGTAATTTTGTAAATAGCAGTTTTGCATGAAGACCCTTTCAGAAGTTGGGGCACAATCACTCGTGTTAATGGAGTAATCTTTCTGCCCAGCAGCTTTGCTGACTCTGCTAATGTTATAACCCTTGTGATGCCATTAACACCCAAGCATTTCATAAATGCACACAAAATTGTGCATGTTTGCAGTTGTGTCCAAAATGTGTACACTTGTTATGCTTGAAGTGCCATTCATTGTTAATGGCACCCCAAATGCAGCGAAATGATGCACATTTAAAACGTGTTGCGATTGCAGTGCCGTTCATTGGTGAAACCCCAAACCCTGCAAGCAAACACATTAAAATGCTTGAGAAACCATGCACAATGCTCAGCACTTAAAAAGCTACATGAACAACTTCAGTGTCTATATAGCGGACCATCGAAATCAGTGAGAGAGCCTATGCATGTAGCGCAAAACGCATTAATTTGCACGCATTTTCAAAATGCCTAGGGGTAAATACAGCCTTAGTGGTGAGAATCGGTTTTAATGCCCAAACACGAGAGGGAACCTTGCGTCCTGCTTGGAAACTAGCTTTTTGACAATTAAAGTAAACATAGGTGTTCTTCATGATTCTGGTCATGGCAAGATTGCTTTCACACTTTTTGGGTGAGGTTGTCTAGCAGCCCCTTAAGTAGTTTGCTGCCATTTACATTTCCTGCATCATTAGCAAGCACAGAACCATAGGTATAGTCCAAACTGTTTATGTATTGCCTGGAAACTCCCTGAATAATGTACTGAGATTTTCATGCATTCAAATTTCACCCAGCCTATTTACTCTCTGGTCAGTATGTAGAAGGTTGGACTTTCATGCTCCGTATAGTGATGTTGCAGCAGGATTCAGGTTGTTCTTTATTAACCATTTTTCTTTACAGGTACCCTACACATACATTGATTTTGAGTCTAATGGTCAGCTCTGGCCATCTATTAATCATTTGTTCAACAAAGTGGATAGATACCAGTTGGCAAACTCTTATGGTTTGTTTAGAAGAATGACTGGTGTTGGTGGCCGACCAGAAGTTGTTGTAGAAGGAAGTTATGACAAAGAGACTTGGACGGTAAATATGAATTTTGTTTCCCAAAAACAAAGGGATTTTATGATAGCGATGCTAGAAATTGTTTTAGAAGCCTCGGAAGCTAGCCATACACCTTCAAATCTTCATTTTGATTTTCCAGCATATGTTATTCTGACCTACTATGCCAATTGGAGAGCCCTATAGGCAAGGAAAGCTTTGTGTGGAGAACACTCTCACTATCTCATCCAGGTGCCATGTCATAGCATTTGGTGATGAAAGGAGTGTGTAAAGAATTCCTTGCTTTTGATAGGACTGGCTGTTTTATTACCTTAACAGTAAAGTGGTTTGCTCCAAGACGAATATTGATAACTTATTTTATTTTATTTGGATAGAGTGGAAAGGGATTAGAACACCTGTTAGGTTTTTGTTGCCATCTTTTCTTTGCATTAGAAAGATTCACCCTCCCCTATTTGTCCTGTTAACTATTATCACAATGAGTGAAAGTGATAATGGAAAATTCCAAAATTTGGGGTGCAGTCAGAACGGGAGCAGGAGGGAAATCTTCCAGTGAGGCACTAGTTCTGGTGACTCTTGCAATAACCAGGGATTTCCTCCGTTTTTTTATTTTATATAAAGTAAGAGTAAGGGGAAGTTATAACTCCTGGGGGTTGTTTTATTTTTGTTTTTTTTTTTTTTTCTTTGTTTAAGCCATGTGTCCCGTTTTTGGAGAGATTTCCCTTCATTCTCTGTCCCATAGCCTAAACAGGAAGTGAGGAAATCCCTTCAAAGTAAGGATATAGATTTTGTGAAATATAACTCTCAAGACCATATTAACCGCTTGCCTGCCGCCCCATAGCAGATGTACTGCTACAGGGTGGTTGCAATGTGCAAAATCACATAAATATATACGTGATTTTTAATTTCTGGGTGAAGGCGTGCCGCCCTACCCTTGCTGCTGTTGGCTCCTGAGGATGTCAATCACCGGGACTCAGTGATCGGTGGCGAAGGTGAGAGGGGAGAAATCTAAGTAAACTACACAGGTCCCTCTCCTGTCAGCATGAATGTGCTGCTTTCTATCTCTCTGCACAGCACAGAGACAGAAAGCATCATGTCTCCTTAGTAAAACAGCACATAGTACACAATAAGTATATTGTATTTTCAACATAAAACCAAAATCAAGAATATGGGGACATGACCTTATTATTTTGCTGAAAGAGTAGTTTATGCTTTCAATAAACTTCCAGCAGAGGTAGTGAGGCAGTCAACAGTAAATGGCTTCAAACATGCGTGGGACAAGTATAGATCTATACTCAGATAAAAATGTTAACCAAAACCCACCCACCCCACCCCCCCCAAAAAAAATGGGCTCACCTGATGGACCGCTCTCTGACTTTTTCTGTTTCTAAAACACTCCCTAACGCAGTTAACACCTTCCTGCCCAGTGTCATTAGTGCAGTGTCAGTGCTATTTATTAGCACTGATCAACGTATTCATGTCACTGACTGGCAGTTAGTTCCCATCCAGTGTCGAAATGCCCGCTGCAGTCCCTCTGTAAGTTGCTGATTGCCCCATTACTGCTATAAAAAAATAAAAATGCCAGTATGTACACCATCATTTGTAGACCCTATAACTTTCACGTAAACCAATTAATATACAAATAGCAAATAGTAAAAAAAAAATATATTATATTTTTTACAAAATTGTCGGTCTTTTTTTGTTAATAGCCAAAACATTTTAAAAAATAGTAAAAAAAATATATATATTTTATTTTTTACACAGAAGTGACCATATACCACCAAAAGAGAGCTCTATTTGTGAAATTACATAAACTTCATTTATATACAGTGTTGCATGATCCCACAATTGTCAGATAAAGTACCGCAGTGCCATATCGCAAAAAATGGCCTGGTCAGGAAGGGGGGTAAATCTTCCGGAGGGCAAGTGGTTAAAAAGTAAAAATGATAGGAATACTACATCTAAAAATAGTTTTATTTCAAAGAAAGCAAACCAAAAAGGTAAATTCTAATATCCCAACCTAACTTTTTGTTTTGAGTAGACTGGGACACCATTTAGAGCTCAACTCCGGCATCTGCGCATGTTGTCCAACTACAACTGTGTCACATGTTTTTGCTTGAATCTTGGGGGGCTTTGTGTATGTCTTCCAGATCTGTGTAGAAATCAGTGTGAAGCATTGCCTCTGTGCAAGCGCTTCCTGTAATAAAGACCAGTCACTGCTGCACTTTCATCTTGTGATTTGTCTTGTATCCACCCCCCTTAAGTTTTTTTTTTTTTTTTTTTTGCACGCGGTCTGTAGAAGGTGGACTCCGCCATCCGCACAGGCTATGTATGTGCGATACAGTGGTGTCACTAATATTCTTAACAAGGTGGTAATCCCATATGTAAAGACATTTGGTGCACACAGAGTGGTTTTATATCCTTTGTGACTATTGAGGAATATAATTAAATCAAAGCTTTTGTGTCCAAAGTTCATTTTTTATACTTTTAACACTGGAATGGTCAAAGGTGAAGTTGACTTTAGAATTGTTAGATTGCTCAGACTAGCTTTGTCTTATTCATTCTGACTTTGTGTAATCCCTAATCTTCCCACAGGAAATAGAATTCATGTATAAGCCAGGAAATATAAGTGCAGCTCCTCCAATCATTACTCCTCACCAGCCTCGCTTGGACTGGCAGATGTGGTTTGCAGCTCTTGGACATCACTCACAGAGTCCATGGTTTACCAGCTTTGTTCACCGACTTCTACAGGGAAACCAGGATGGTAAGATATTACTAGGAAAGTTAATGTTTCGGGAACATTAGCCACTAGCTGAGCACCGACTGTGCAAAAACGTCCTTGGTTCAAGTGTTAATAATCGCTTTTTTTTTTTTTTTTTTTTCTGCATTCAAAAAGCACAGAAATTAGGTTATATGGTTGTCAATGTCATAGTTCACATCAGTGCTCGCAGTTCCAGTGCATTCCAGGTGAAGAAAAAAAAGTAGAGAAGGCTGCATTTTTTTCTGCACAGAATTGTTTTCTATTGTACAGCGCTGAGCAAACCCTTTGGCGCTATATAAACTCGTAGTAATAATAATAATAATAATAATAATTGTACTGGAACGAGGTAAAACACAGTGGAATGTATATGTCCCTATTTAAATTTGAAGAAGAGGAGATTTAAATTGAAGAAGAAGAGAGGTGGGGAAATGAACTGGAATGTGTAAAAAAAAAAAAAAAAAAAAAAAAAGTGCATGCAGAAACGCATCTGGACTGCGTTTCTATGGTGTGAACCGGCCTTGAAGGTCATACTTGGAATGCTTCTGATTACACCTGTTTGCTGTTCCTGAAAATCCACATTTTAAGATTGAAATACATTTATTTCTTCCAGACTTAAAAATGCTATTCTCATGTGTTCAGTGATTTTCATTTGCAGTGGTGCGCCTGGTGCAGAATGATGAGTCGCTATATCCTTTCAGTACTCGCCCCCCTCATTATATAAGAGCACAACTCTTCAAGTATTGGTTTACAGAAAATGGTCAAACCGGGTAAGGAATACATTTAGAACAGATGGTATCAAGTTGTTGTTATATACAGTACACACTGGCTGCAGACCATTGTGGTGAATAAGCATGGACAGGAAGAATCTATGGTTTATCATTATTTGGGTTAAAAAAATGCCAAAAAATATTTTTATAATTTTGCTTCACACAATTGTACATACACTGATCAAACAATTCCACATATGCTTAGGCTAGGTTCACACTGCTGCGATCTGATTTTGATCCGATTTTCAATGCGATTAGTTCAATTTGGATTCTTCTGGTATGCAGTTTGCATATTCTATGGTGCAAAATGTATTCTGTAATTGCCCCCAAGTAGTACAGAAACTTTTCCCATAATCGTGCAGTGCTGATTTGCATTGATGTGAATGTGCACCTTTTGAAAAACAATGTGATTGTCCTGAAAGTCTGTGACTCTAGTCATATCTGAAATCACACTAGTGTGAACACAGCCTTAAAGTGAAGACTTTCTGTAGCATGATAATGCAGACATAATAGCAATTCTGGTAAAATCTTTGTTAAAAATCTGGCGTGTTCTCTAAAATCATACCACTTACGGTCACTTCTTAATTCACCTCTTACTGCTCTTCTCCCCTGTTTGTTGACCTATAGTATAATAGGTATCCTTGCCAATAGTGAGGAGAGCAGTGAGACAGACTACTCATCCCATGAGGGATTTGGTCACTTTCTGCCAAGTACCGTACCCCAGATTGTAAGGAAAATGTTATGTGCAGGTGTCCGCACTCTCGTGCCTCAGTTACCTGTGACAATTAAAGTTACTTTTGTACTTAATTAATGCGAGATAAGTTGGTTTGTTACTGTCATGATTGTAGATCTACACCGTATCCTGTTTCTACTAATCTTCAAGTTAAAGTGGTCAAAAGACTATAGTGTTTTTTTGTTTTTTTTTTTTTACCTTCGTGCGTTCCCTGTATTAAGGTAATAAATACCTTTTTAACCACCTTCCGTCCGGCCGTTGTATATAAACAGCTGGACGGTGGCAGTGCAGGGGCGGGTGGCCGTTTATAAACTGCCTCCCAGCACCCTGCTTGTGCACGCTCCCTGGGAGCGCGCAGCATCGCGATCCGGTGCCCGCTCTGTCCTCCGGACAGGACCTCTGTATGAGGTCCCGATCATGTGATCACTTGCAGAGTAGTAAGCCATGATGTCACTTCTGACATTGCTTACTACGTGTGAAATCTGTGAATGATCACAGAGGTCACATGGTACAAGGCTATTCACAACAGCCTGGTACCATGTGACAAGCTGTGACCAATCACAGCTCACTCAGTAGTTCTCAGTGGCTGCAAGAATGGATAAATTATTGCTTTTATATCCTTTATGGGTGTGAAAGCAATGAGTGTAAAAAAAAAAAAAAAAAAAATTATCACCCCCCCCCCACAAGTAGTAGTGTCACCAAAAAAATAAAAAATATAAAAAAAAGTTTAAAAATTATTATTTTTTGTTAGAAACTAATTCAGGTTATTTTTTTTTTTTTTTTACTAAAAATATAACGGAATAAATTTTGGCCAAGATTTATGATGAAATACTATTTATTTGCAAAATTTTATTAGAAAAAAACACCTTTTTTCAAAATTAGTGGACTTTTTAATTTACATAGCAAAAAATAATAATCCCAGTGGTGAATAAATACCACCAAAATCTGTCTCAAAAAATGGTAAAAAATTTCATTTAGGTTCAGTGTTGCATGACCGCGCAATTGTCATTCAAAGTGTGATAGCACTGAAAGCTGAAAATTGGCCTGGGCAGGAAGGGGGTAAAAATGCCCAGACTGGAAGTGGTTAAAATCTGCTCCCTCCCCAGCCTAAATACTTAACCTGAGCCCAATTTTGTTGCACTAGTGCGCTCTATCTATCCTCACAGGCTCTGCAACAGCAAACAAACATAGTAGCCAAAAAAAGCATATATAAATTGCGCGATACAAGTCCTAATGTAATTGAATGTTATGAAAAATTACTTTTCAATCTGCAACACTGTAATTTTCAGTAAAATGAAAAAAGGGCAACCTGGGGGCTTTCTCTAAACAGAGGGTTACAGAATGCCCCCAGAAAGGCCATTTCCTGCTTGCGTAATTGGCTCGCTAATTTTCCTGGAAGTTTGCACTAAGGTCAGATTTTGGGCATCCCCTGCAACAAAAATGTTGATTTTTGGTGAGACACTCCCAAAGGGAAATCATGTCTGAAGGGATGCAGACTGTGCAATTTTCCTTATTAGAACCCTGCATGTGCAGCAGCGGATTGATAATTATGAAATCACTACCACACACACATTAATTTTGCACATGGATACAGACTAACAAAAAGCTATTTATTCAGAATAACAAAAGGTAGGAATCTGCAACAAGTTTGCTAAAAGTCTCGCAATGTGCACTGATCACCCAGAGGGGAATGTTACTCTTTAAAGTAAAGGTGAGAAAGTGATTTTAGTATTTGTTAGCCTTTTATAGGTTATGTTTTAATTGATCTCTAATAGTCTCTAATAGTCTGGACAATGGACATGCCCTTTATTGTTTTCATTCATGTAGCTGTTCACTATTAATTCATACTTTTGCTCCATTTTCCAGACAAACAGCCAGTCACTGGTGGCGCCGACGTCATGTTGAGGAGTACTTCCCTACTGTGTTCATAGGAGACCCTACCTTGGAATCCATGTTGAGCCAGCATGGACTTAAGGTATGTGTGGCTTAATCAAGCTTTCTTAAAGGCTTAATGACAAAGTCCTTCTAGTAGAGTTTGGTGTTAGTAGATATTTATCATTTGAGGAGTATAGTAAGAAATTAGGAAAAGGACCACCAGTATCTCTGGGAAGGTCTTCAATATATACATCTTACGTGGGCATTAAAAATGTAAACCCCTGCATGAAACCATTGTGGAAATGGTTGGCAAATGGCATTAGTAGTGAGTCACCTAATTTTAGGCTTTTGCAATTGTCAAGTATTTGCTGCCTTAAGCAACATCATTTCTAATTTCCCATCATCTCATATGTTAGTGATAGGCAAAATGTTCAGATTGATCGAAACATATATCTTTGGAGACTTTGGCAAGATATTCCCAATAGAGGTCCCAGCTCTTGACATCAGGAAACCAAACAAGGGTATCTCCTTCTGGTGCATTTTCTGTAATGCACTATAAACAAAAAGTGAGTTGTCCGCTCCACCGTGTCTAAACATTTACAAAGACACACAGTATCTCACAGAAGTGAGCACATCACTCACATTTTTGTAAATATTTTATTATATATTTTCATGAGACAACACTGAAGAAATGACACTTTGCTACAATGTAAAGTAGTGTACAGCTTGTATAACAGTGTAAATTTGCTGTCCCCTCAAAATAACTCAACACAGCCATTAATGCCTAAACCGCTGGCAACAAAAGTGAGTACCCCCCTAAGTGAAAATGTCCAAATTGGGCCCAAAGTGTCAATATTTTGTGTGGCCACCATTATGCCTTAACCCTGTGTTAACATCTGTAATGATCCAGTTATATCCTAAAAGGAATTGCTCACCACACAGAGCCTGTAAAATGGTACATATAGTGTAGTATTTAGTATACACTTTGGGTGGCACCTACCTGCTGATGTCACGCCGCCAGGTCAGTACTTCGGAATGGAGGCCATCTTGGTATTTGGCATATTTAATAATCCTACTGTTTTCCACGTTGAATGCTTTTATGCATAATTTTAAATAAATACTACACTATATATATCATTTTCTGGGCTCTGTGTGGTGAGCAATTCCTTTTAGGATATAACCGATCCATTACAGATGTCGGATAGTGGATAATACAGACCTCTTGTCATATTTGCTACCTAACAAGTAGCCCTCTGGTGAGTGCATAGTGGTGGCGGATTGCACATTGGACTCCAGAGCAGTGTGTGGGACTGAACACGATTTGCTGTGATTACTGCGATCACATCACTGATGCACAGATTTTATAATCGGAAGGACTTTTTTATTTATTATCACATTGATTGCACTGAGATACATGTATATTTAATTCATATATTTTTGTCACATTATTGCTTTATTATTTACTTCATATGTTCTATGCGCTGCACCTTATATGTATGTCTGTTTATTGAGATCTGTTGTCACTATCTCTGGTGCTAGCTGCATCTACTTGTATAGCGCTCACCATTTACATTTTAAAAAATATACAAAGCCTGGTAGTGCCCTGACCAAAAAAAAAAAATAATTTTTTTCTTGATTGTACAGTTTTAAAATTCTGAATTATTTCTGAAATTAATATTGATTACAAAAGACGCAAAATCATGGTGGCATAGAAGTGTTTAGTGGAGTGTTGTAATATTTTATGATTTCAGTAAAGCATTAATGAGCATATTACATTTTTTGACTGCCTGCTGTCTTTCAGCACAAATAGCCAAGAAAGCTTTAGCTTTTTCCAACATGACATACCATTAAACTGAAGATGAAAGAAAAGTGATAACCAGTGAAGAGTAATGGAGCATTGCTGCATGGTGCCTCTGTGATATTAAGGCTTTTAAAAGGTTTCTCCCATTTTATTTGCTGCTACACAGTACTAGTGGTGTGAGCAGTTATACGCGTGGGGTAAAGTATTGATGGGCTTCTGTTTTTATTGTGAAGAGAACCTTATATGCTTCTACATTCACAGAACCTGTACATGAATCAGTATACTTGCAGCCTATGACTTTAGTCAGACTGGTGCTTTTCTCCTGGGTAGTGGCAGTCGTCTTAATATACAGAAATATAGTTCGTTTATTATAGTTATGGTAATTATTTTTTTTAAACCATCCATTTAGCTACAATTTACTGCTGTAAATCTATTACACATTTTTACAGCTTTTACCATTAGGAACTTTTATCATTTGTGGAGGTTAAACTTCCTTTCCTCCAGTCACTTGTCTCTTGCAGTAGCAGTGGCTGCAGTACGGTGTGAAGTACTTCTCACTTTAATGGTTTGATAGTTTGTGTTTTTTTTTTTTTTCCTGCTAGGACAAGCCACCTCCTCGGCGTTCGCTGGATGCCCCCCTTCCATCTACACTTAAGATCATTCGTGATTTCTTACACCCTTATCCAGCGCCTTTACTGTTGCACTCACTTCTTATTGCCATAATTGCTATCAATTCCCTACAAGCTTTATTGGGGGGAAGAAGCAAACCAGGAGCCTCCAAGCATCGGAGCCATTCAAAGTCACAAAACGATAAGAAGAAGCAAAAGGGTAGCAGTGCACGCAGTGATTCTGGTGCTGCAGGCTCTGGGGGAGATGCTGGCCACAGCAGCAAGAAGCGTGAAAAGAGCTCATGAATGGGCAAAAGCCTGAGACTGACCTATCATCAAGCACTACCGTCCGCAATACTAGGATGTGGGTCTGTACGGTTATACACTGGTGGGCTTTAATTATGTTGAGCATGCTCTCTTTTGCATTCTCTTAAAGGCATTTGCCTATTCCTTTTAGACCATCACCATGGGATGGATGCATAACCACTTATCAATGAATTTTATATGCATTTCTTGCCAGTAGTTTCAATTTTGTTTTTATATTTTTGCTTTTACAAAGATAAGATGATCTGAACACCAAACGACATATGTTACAGCCAGTACCATCCTTTTTGTTGTCTTAAAGATTTTGGTTAAAAAAAAAATGTATAAAACATTTTGGCTGTTAAGCTGTATATATTGAAGACTGGCTGTAGCATCCTAATTTATTATCAATGGTAAAAAAAAAAATTGAAGATTGCTTGATGTATGTCATATTCTTTTCCTGTCTGAGACAACCAACGAGTTGCATGCTTTAGTCACACAAGTATACATCCTTTATTACATGAGTGTCCTTTTACAGCCAGTCTGTAAAATGTGATGATGCAAAACCACCAAAATCCAAAGTGCCTTTTTAGATGTGTGAATCTCTTAAGCCATATGTGCCTTATTGCTTTTGTATATATACCTATGGTGGAATATTCTGGGTAAGCGGGAGGTTGTTTCAATTATTGTGCATTACTGTATGGATCAAGTAGGTCCAGGCCAAGTTAAAAATTAGAAACTTCAGCTTCGTCTCTTTAGGATGTGAAAACTGGGTCATTTAACCTATTTGTAAACCTATCTTTTTCTTGTGGCTGTATGATGCCGAATTGTTAACTGGCTAAAGTAGAGCTCTAACACTTTCATAATAAACTTGTACATGTCCCAGCAGCCTCTAAAAACACGTATTATATTGTGTTACCTTTATGGAAGTGAAGTCTTCAGGCCTGTAGGCTCTTGGCTTTGTGAGTGCATCTTGTTTTGCTCTCATTAAGCTGTTTCCAGGAGAGATGCTGCTTGTTCAGAATGCAAGATTTGACTCCCTTCTCCAAACAATGATTTTAGTAATGGCCAAGAGAAAGCATGATCATGGCAAAGCATGACGTGACCTCCAACTAGACCAGGCTGCTTGAACAGGAGTTATCTTTAGGAAAGGTAACCCATTATATTTGTATTGTTTTAAAGGCAGCAGGTACAGCACGTTTAAAATAAATAAACCATTCTGAAAGTGCAGTTATGTCTTAAATAATTGCCGCTCATTAACAGAGCTCAGTTTTACGGCTATGTTTATGACCAAAAGCTCAGTGTTCACAGCTTGGCTGAAATTAGATATATGAAAATCATTCCTTTATTGTCTTTTAATTTGATATAGTTGAAATGTGAGGTTCAGACCTGACTAATCATTGTATCATAGGAGCACAGTGAGAGGCTCATAGCCTAAAAGGGGATAAAGGCACTTTTTATTGGTTTCTATATTAAGTCTAGTCTAGTCTGAGCTTTAACTCTCTTCTCTGAAGAAAGGCAAAGTGAACCTGTACATTAAAAATGTGTCCTATTATCTATCCCACCTAGGAACAAACGCAACAAGGTATCCTGATAATAAATGTAATGGCCAGAAAAGCCTCTTCTGTGCTCATCACTTTTTTTTTTTTTTTTTAAACTACGGTCTGACTAAAATGACTAAATTTATGATCATGGCCTGATGGCTGCCATCTCATTTACTCAGGGGCATCCCTAGGCTTGGTGTCACCCGGTGCAGTAACACTTGGTCACACCCCCCTCCGTCGACCCCCTGCAGCATGGATCACATCTGCGGATTGAGCATAATGGATCGAAGTCCGACCATTATCCTCCCCAATCCGCAGATCCGATCCATCCTGCGGAGATCGTCGGCTTGCAACCTATACGGGGTTAACTGATCTCTGTACGAGTTCCACAAAAAGGTAACTTTTAAAGCAAGCCGAAGATCCCCGCAGGATGGCTTGGATATGCAGATTGAGAATAATGGATCGGAGTCTGATCCATTATGCTCCCCAATCCGCAGATACGATTTATCTTGCGGGGATCGTCGGCTTACTTTAAAACTTACCTTTTCGTGGGGCGGGTCCGGTGTCGCCCTGTGCAATAGGTGTCACACCCCAAACCCCCCCCCCCCCCCCCCCCCGCACCTGCCTAGGGATGCCGCATTTACTAATAAGAGTGTCTTAGTGACCAATAAGGACATTATTACTAAGTGGTGGAGCTTATCTGTAAAATCTATTGAGTAAGGCACCAGTTATGAGTTAAAAGCAAATCAGAGGCACATAGAGGCTTTTATGTCTGTTAGCTGGTATATTGTGAGTGCCCTGGCTGTTCCTCATGTTGCAATATGATTTACATTTACCAGCAACTATGTAGTATTAGAGCCTGCTTACCAAAGGAATCAATCCGCATATATCCGTGGATGTAGGCCCCGGTACTGATTCTTTTGGCAAACCTAAAGGTTGGTGTTAATATGCTTTTGGTCACTTCAGAACACTTTTGCATTTCCATACAAGTCTATTGAAAAGCAAAACTCTTGAAGCTGGTCAAATGCAAGTCAGACACAGCTGCCAATGAATTGTGAATGATCTCAGTATTGTCTCAAAGAGTTGCCATTGGCACAAGACCAAATCTTGTCGTGACAGGACCTTAAACAGATCGTACAATCAGGTTGTACCATATGTGGCCAGCTTTAGATGGGATGTTTACTGTTCAAACTTGAAAACAGAGTAAATGTTCACTTTAATAACTGCTAAAAAGCAGCAATCGATCCAACACTTGTGCAAAAGACTTATTCTTGGTAGCAGCTAGGGCAAATGAAGTATCTGTGCACAGCTTGTTTTGAACTCGGTGCTATTTCACCTTATTTACTGAGAACCAACCATTTTGGGGGGTTTTTTGTATTTTTTTTTTCTTCAACTATTTGCTTTTTAGCTGCATGATCATGGCGTTTCCCTATTTCTTCAGGAAGAAGTTTTTTGTCTCATTGGATTTTATGCACATTGTGATGATTTTGTATTTTGTAATAAAGCTTTATTTGCATATCTGTTTCATTGATTATAAACACCTTCATTATACGTGATATAAAATGATTCCATGTGAGCAATGACTGCAGTGTTCATGTTTTGTTTTTTTTTAGATATCCATTGCCCAATTCAGAGCAAAGAACTAAGTTTGGTAGCTGATTGGACAGGATGGTGATGTGATATAATCTCCAACTCATCCAATCAGAGCACACCTTGTATTCATTTTAAAAATACAAGGCATTCTGTTAAAGATGGCAGTGCCAGGCAAATGCATTTCCCGGAAGATTGCGTCAATCACTAGCAGCAACTCTTAAAGCGAGTGTCCCCTTCCACAGCAGTCTCTCAGGTGTATGAAATGATGTATACTTCCATTGGTTCAAGGTGGACCAATGTATCTATGCAACAAAGATCACACCTAGACTTCATCTTTAAAGCATTTAGCATCTTAGAGCAATGTCACATGCTCTCTATACCTGGAAGTACTGTGTATTTTTCTCACCCCTGCCAGCAGGAGATTGAGGGAATGGTGAGTATGAGTGTTTTGCAGGCGTACCACACTTTAAAGTAAATGTGTTGTCTATATAAGCAATGAACAGGTTTTGAATGTAATGCAGTTGGATTAGTCTCACTTGACAAATGTGCAGGTTAAAGGGTATCTAAGCCCAAATCACTAAAGGTCTAGTTCTAGTCTGCACCAAAGTTCAGATCTACAATGTGCACTCACTGGATATATGTAGGGACCTTGCCTTAAAACCCAACTGTGTGGTAGAAATGAGAAAGGAAAAACTCTTGCAATGGGGCTACACCAGTGTTTCTCAACTCCAGTCCTCATGGACCCCCAACAGGTCATGTTTTCAGGATTTCCATTATTTTGCACAGGTGATTTGATCAGTTTCACTGCCTTAGTAATTACCACAGCTGTTTCATCTGAGGGAAATCCTGAAAACATGACCTGTTGGGGGTCCATGAGGACTGGAGTTGAGAAACACTGGGCTACACCAAGGGACACAGTGCCTGACCCCAGCAAAAACCATTGTTTGACAGAACTTTATCAAAATGTCACAGGTGACATTTCAATACTGTGCAATTCACTCCTGCAATGAGGTGGAGGGGTGCGAACTGTCCTCATAGAAAACAGGTAATTTTGTCTTGTCTTGTGGTGGGGGACTGTGTTGGTCGAGCCTGCCCAGCACAGTCCCACCACACCTGGCGTGAACAAGCTGTAAGAAGTGGTATTCCTAGATTAATTGTGTCTGTTTTATACAGCTAGGCTGTACCCAGATTGAGCATTGGTTTTTATTACTGTGAGTAGCTCACGTTATTTGCTTCTGCCAGATACTATTAAGTAGATTCCAGCAGTCTAAGAAGATTTAATAGCCTGAGTTATGAATATTTATCATGCTCAGACAATCTGGCTGAGCTTTGTTTTTACCACCCCCAACTGCTCTCTCTTAAGCTGCAAGGACAGTGGGTGGGAGTGTACACATGCTGCAGCAGATATTATACCTCCTATAGCATTCAGTGAGCACTAATACCCATGCAATTGGGCAGCACAGTGGCTAAATGGTTAGCACTTCCACCTGGCAGCACTAGGGTCGTTGGTTCGAATCCCAACTATGGCTCCACCTGCCTGGAGTTTGCATGATCTCCCTGTGCCTTCATGGGTTTCCTCTGGGTACTCGGCTTCCTCCCAGATTCCAAAGACATGCTGATAGGTTAATTGGATGCTGTCTAAATTGGCCCTAGTATGTGTATGTATGAATGTAAGTTAGGGACTTTAGATTGTATGCCCCTTGAGGGTTAGGGACTGATGTGAATGTGATAGATAGATATATATATTTGTGTTCAAAATAATAGCAATCAGACATCACTAACCTGATCAATCACTGTTTTTGGTAGAAATTATATTTCTACATGGCCAATAATTTACTAGCAGGTGTAGTAGAGTAATAGAAATCC